CTGGTTTTGGTTTTGAAGCAGAGAAGCTTAGAAAGATGGGCTCCTGAGAGTCTGTAATCGCTCCATCTGCTTTGTCCTGGGGTTTGAGAGGGGGTTGTTTGACCTTTAGCTTCCCGAGTGGGGAACTCCAGGATCCCACCTTCAACCAGCTGCTTCTCCCTTCTCAGGACCCCAGAAAAGAGATGGAGGGAAGAAGGCCAGTGAAGCGGGAAGCAAATACAGGGGCTGTTACCTTTAATGCCCAACAGGGACCTGGGCCTCTCTGGTTCAAATATTGCAGATTTGAGAGAAATTATGGTTGAAAAGACACAGTGTTAGGGCTGTAGGGTCAGACATATCTGGCTTCATATCCTGACTCTCAGACACTTCCCCTTGCTGGGTCTCAGTGTGTGCAGCTGTAAAACAGAATAATAATCTTTGTATTTTTTAGGACTCTCTGAGTTGTCCTAGATGTAACAAACATGTGACCCAGGTTATACAAAAATAGGTGGGGGATTTGTTCTAAGGACTGAAGGATTTATCAAGTGCAAAGATGAAAGTGGCCTCAGGGACTCTGCCAGAATGTTCTGTTCTTCTCTCCTGTGTCCTTCATTCCCTTTTGACCAATAATTCAGCTTTCCATGTCACCCAGCCTGCCTGGCAGGACATGGCTGCCTTCCTTGGGGAAATAACCAAACTAAGGCTAGAGCTTTCAGATTCCCAGGGAAGGGTTCTGATTGGCTCAGCCTGGGTCAGGTGATCACCCCTGAACCAATCAGCTGAAGCCAGGAAGTAGGTCTCAGTGGGCACGTATGGCTGCTTCCACTTTTGCTGTGTGAATGAAAGGGAGGAGAAGAAGTTCCTACCAAAGTCAAGGGTAGATGGAGGAGAGACAGCTGGGCAGGCAAAAGGATTAGTTTCTACTACAACATAGCAACATTTTCTACTACAACATAGCACTATCATGTTACCACACAAAATTGAGGTTCTCTTGCCCGATGTGCACAAAGAGCCAATTATTATGGCATCCACTTTTTAGAACGAAAGGCTTTATTGTGAGATCGATCTGCAAGGAGACAGGAGGCATAAGCTCTCAGATCTGTCTCCCCAGTCCAGGGCTCAGGGCAAAATTTATGAGATGAAGGGCAGGGTGGTTTGAGGTGTGGAGATAGATGATAAGGAGAAGTGAGGCCATTGATGATCTGCACAGGCATAGTCATGTTTCATGACTCTTCATAGGATGCATGAAGAAGACAGGGTGGTGTTAGTATGATCTGAGGGTGGAATTTTCAGCCCCATGACATCAAAAGGTTCATTTATCAGGCATTTGCACAGGCCCACTT